GTTGGGGGGAGAATCTGTGGTAGTGATATTTAAAGCAGGATCATGTACTTGGACTTTAACTTACCAAAGTGGTGGCTTTCCTACCCTGGAATACTAGCTTTCCAGATTCCCTTTGTTGTAAGTCAGGGAATATACTAGTCCTCATCCTATTTCCCTCAGCATTAGTTTCCCACAGGGGACAGAGGTCTTTTTTTTTCTTCTTTTGATATGACATTTGTACAAATCTGACAAGAAAACACCTTTAAGGGTAAAGTATAATCTCTAAAACCAAAAATCTAAGCACACAAGACAGGGTAGAACTGTCCCTGCGGGTTTCCGACACTAACTCTGCTAACTGCGAATTGAAAGCCTTCTCTTTCTTCCATGCAGTGGCTGGTGGTTTCAAACTACTGATCTTGCAGATCGCAGCCTAAGACCTAACCACTATGCCACCAAGGCGCCGATCCAGCAGAGAAAGAGATTTGTTATTTTGAGAAAGGCTGCTTTTTCCAAACAACTCTTCCCCGGCCTCCAGAGCCTTAAGACTTGCAAGCCTTCTTGCTTTTGGATCGTTTCTGCAATCTAGCAGGAGCCCTGGTGGCACTGCCCAGTAAGCACTGGACTGCTACTGCAAGGTTGGCAGTTCAAACACACCAGCGGCTCTGCTGGAAAATGATGAAGTTGTTTACTCCTGTAAGATTTGTAACCAGATCTAAGAAAGGGTTGCTATGAGACCAATTGACTCAAAGGCAGTGGGGTCTGGTTTAACAGGGGAGACATGTCTACATCACAGTAACATCTGGGGACATAATAAAAAGTCTAGGTCGGGGAGAGGTCAAAGGCAATGCCAGCCCTGGGCCTCAAAGGAGGAGGAGGTCCCGAGGCAGATACGGAGATGAAGGCATTTCTGGTGGAAAGACTACACAAAGGCATTCCTCGTGTGGCAAAAGGGTTGGTGGCAGAAGCTGGAGCTTGTCTCCTTGAGTGCTAGGATTTTAATCCGTCAAGTCAAATGTACAGTTTACTCAACTCTCATTTAAAAACAAGTTTATGCTGACCACCCCGCCCCCAATCAAAACATGTTTGAATACTCATTCTTGGAGTGCTTATTTAAAGTCTGCACCAGAGGGAGAAAACCTTTTTTAAAGTTAATTACAGAGGAATTTACAAGGCATGTTATATTAGCACAAGGCTACTCGTTTTCTGCTGCTTTCCCAATGGCACAGTGATTGACATGTAGCTGCAATCTCAAGCAGAGCTTATACTTGGGTCTCTGCAGGGCTGGGCAGCCTTCTGTTGGACCCCTTACATACCCAGTTAGGCAGCTTCGTGTTCAAGGCCAGCCCGTCTCTACAAAAAGAGCCTAACTCGGAACTTCTTAACTGGCTAAATGGGGGTGGGGGTGGGGGTGAGAATAAATTTATGTTGCAAGTGCATGCTATTCATGTTTTTTGTGTTATGCCCATCTGTTCCCACGCTCCATATAAAGGTGATGGATACAATGGATGTATGGATTGATAGAGGAGCTGTAGGAGCTCTCCATAAAATGTTTAAAAAGAAAATTGTACAACTTTTCTTGATATGGCTGAACTATTGAATTACATGATATGTGTACAAAGTGCCGATAAAACTGTTTTATTTAAATAAAACAAAACAAATGGCCCTGGTGGCATAATGGATTATGCGTTGGGCTGCAAACTATGAGGTCAGTGGTTCAAACCCACCAGCCGCTCCTTGGTAGAAAGGTGAGACTTTCTGTTCCCATAAAGAGTTACAGCCTTGGAAGTTCAAGGGGACAGTTCTACCATGTCCTGTAAAGTTGCTATGAGTCAGAACTGACTTGTCAGCAGTGTTTGTTTGTTTGTTTGTTTGTTTGTTTTTCTGAATGAGCAAAAATGCATTGCCTCAGTTCTAGGAAAGATGATTCTATCTTATGTATAAGCCTCACTTGTTTTTTTTTCCCTGAGCTCAAATTGGAATATTTGCATCGTTTAGGTATAAATATGTTAACAGATATAGTTGACTGATGGATGAATTTGTTGTTGTTGTTTAGATGATAAAGCCCCAGTAACAGATACAAACATCCCTTCTCATCTGGAGCAGATGTTGGACATACTGGTCCAAGAAGAAAATGAACGGGAGTCTGGAGAGACAGGGCCTTGTATGGAATATTTGCTTCATCACAAGATCCTGGAAACGTTATACACCTTAGGGAAAGCTGATGTAAGTTCCTGTCCCGATCGCGATCTTGG